TTTTGGCTCTCATCAGTGTATAGGGTAGTCTGCAGCTAGCAGTTCGAGCACATTCATATTATTTCTGTTGTTTTTCAATAGGAAAATGATTATTCGATTTTCAATATCACAAAATGCCTGTTATTGAAATGATTGTACTGATAAACAAAAAACTACAGAAGTGATAAGCTGACAGCTGACAAATTCCACCAACTGATCATTTGCTGCTGAAAACTGATGAGAAAGAGTTTCGAATTACAGTACTGTATTTCTGATTCTATATATCAAAACACAGATTATCATAAGAAATAACACGATGATCTGAATATTCGAGATGATTCTGTTGCTTCAGTGTTCACGATTTTGTGTTGCCGAGCAACACCACCAGTTCGTCAGTACGGCAACACAATTGAGTTTACAATGAGAGGCAGAATTATAGAAGATATTCAGAACAGAGTGGTATTTCACTAGACTACTTCACGTTAACACAGCATAAAAAGAATTTATTATAAATGAGTGGTTCATTTTGACAAGTACAGCCATGAATATTTCATGCCAAACTGACAGACTTTGCTTTGCTATCCATGGTTACATCTATACTTTGATTCACTATACATCGGTATAACATCGATGAAAACATGAACGCTGTCAGACCAATCAGAATTGAAGGACAGCTCATGTTTCCGCAATAAGCACACGATGTTTTCGGCTTGTGATTGGTCAGATTATGTGATGAGTAAAATTGTCAGCGGAGTCAGTGGATTTAATGACAGTACTGACCAGGTGAATTCGGAATATAGCCATAGTCGTTCCGCGCTTTCCCATCAAAAATTGTTCGAATTTGACGATAAATACTATGAACGCCATAATTTGAACAAAATCCATGATTTCTTGAAAAGAAAGCATAAATGAGGATGTCCTGCTGTGTGATAAATCGTGGAAATCCTGAAGAGAATGGATATTATTTATTCAATGCGCCAAAGGAAATATGAAACTCAATCTCTAATGGAAAGAATGTATGTAACGGCCAGGATGGAAAATTATTGTTCTAAAATTGTTTGTTCTGAAATTGTTTTATCTGTCATTCGGTTACCCCCTCACGAGCAACCCGCAGAAGTCTTCAAGAGTCTTGTGCGAGCAAGAAATGACAAGGGCCTTACCTTTTAACGTGAGATCCCAAACACTTTCTTGGGCCATCAGAAAGATTTCTGCAGTCAATAGAAATCGAACCCACGACCGGTAAGCGAATGCGGATTAGAATATTGACACACTGTTCGCACGGCAACCTGGCCCCCTAATTGATTAGAAGACGAGCAAAATTCGTGAGGTACATACATTAAAAGTAACTTTTCATAACAGCAAGTCAAAATGACACATTATGTTAGGCCCATTTTCGAACAGAAGATGTAAACATCCGCTTAGGAGAATCTGCTGTTCCATCCAATTACAAAACAGACTATTCGAATAAAGGATATATATCTTCATCATCACACGAAAAACATTACAGAACTATCATGAAAAAATATAATTGATTGCAATACCACGTATTGAGATTGAAAATTTGAGAACAAAACTGAATTGCAACGTGTTATATCATTGGATAGCGTTTATGCGTCTATTTTGTCAAAAAAATGTTGTTACATACATTTTTTTCATTTTTATATTTGTTACGAAATGAAGATATCTGTATACACGTAGCGTTAAATGCGGGGAACTTTTCTTCCTGATTTAAGGCTAATTATCCTTCCTATCAGAAATCTTGGTTTGTTACAAATATTCCAAACTGATTCTGAAATAACTCTGCCAAATATTCTCGGAAGTTAAGAATAATGATCAAGTAGTTGTGAACATTTTCTTGATATAAACTTAGCGTTGTAGAATGATAAAATACGCAGAGATAGTTCAACATATTTTCGTAATGATACAATTGAACATTTTGGCAGAGATTCCGCGAACTATAATTAGAAACATTTCAGCAATAATGTCCCGAGAGGTATCTCCTGGAATTCGACGTATTTGTTGATGAAATCATGACTTGAGATATATTTACATTCTTTTAAAATCAAAATAATGGCATTAAACGATCTGATAAGAGCATGGATCTTATTGTAACTCTAGAACTTCAATGCATCATTATGATTTTAACGGGAAGAACGACTTTGCGCTTCACATATTTTTTCTCACTCCCATTATGATACAATGATCATTCGATTTTATTGTATAAGGCTGCAATCCCTCCACTCGTGAAATCTCAGAAGGAAAAATAGACTAGTGGCAAAACTGGACGTGCTCTTCCAGATTTTACCTCATGGTTTTTTCGTGTGATTATGCTATGACGGCTGGTCAGCGCTCTTGCTTGAACGTATGAGTTGAATATTCTCTTCTAAGGAACTAGATGATCAATCGCAACACGTTATATATCGAATAATCATACATTATATACAATTATACGCGGAAAAGGTCATTGTTGAGAAAACTTCTACATGTCGAATCAATGAAGTGCCTCATTCGATGTAAGTTCTGATTCTTGTATCTTTGGTCGCCACTTGAAGGCGCTGCATGTGAATCTTTGAAGACCTGTTGCGTGGATTGATATACAGTCAGCAATACACATATAGCAGATGATGCATTGACATTCGATTTTATTATAAGTTCACATAAATGGACATGAGTAAGGAGAAAAACTGAGACATATCGCCCCTGTAGAATGCGAAGAATTTCATGATTCCATGGATCTGGATTCAAATTCAGAAGTGAAGGACACAGCCCAGAAATAGAAATCTTCGAAATGTTGCATTTGCCGTTTTCACGATAGCACCTCTCAAATGTCCGACTGGACCAAGAAAAGTGTCAATGATTCACTCCAAATTACATTTTAGAGAAGCAATATCTTCAGTATTGATATTAACCAACGATTCTTTCATTGACCATCGAGCCCAAACATACGCTGACTCTCTTAGATTTCATTCATTCGTCTGGTGAGTGATTCTGCACTCACTAACTCTATGACCTCCTATAAGAACACCGTAGAGAAGACCGTGACCTTTCACTTTAGTATCTGCTATAATTCTCTAACAACACCCGTACATCCTAGGGACTTCCCATGGACGTTCCTGATTTTCTACTAGGACATCTCAGGGATGTCCTTTGTCGGGACAACGTACATACTAGGGATATCCCAGGGACATCCGATGACCGCTAAAAAAGGCATCCAAGGGATGTCCTTCTGGTACGTCCCTGGGATTTACCAAGTACGATGAAAGGATATCCCTAGAACGTCCCAAGAATATTCCAGGGACATCCTTTCGACAAAAGAAAAAAGTTGCAGGTCGAGTAGGGATTGAACCCGGGACCTTTGGCTTATCATGCACGCTTTCAAATTCATTTATTTCCTCATTTCAATAAAACATCGACAATTTCAAACAGAACAAACAACTATAAAATGTATACATATACTATCCTCCGCGCAGTGCGGAGTTGGCTGGTGTTAGCCAGGGGGAATGTTCGTTCTGTGATAAGAGTCCTGACACATGAGTCCCATCTCCTGAAGCAGTGCTCCTTTTAATGGGAAATCTCCGAGGTGGACCCAGTAGGGTCAAGGGTGAATACAAACATTGGCGTGCTGGAAATTACCGTTTATACGAGGGAAAATAAAGTAAAAACCCTCTCCAGATGATCTGTCGCTTTGGACACGGCGCTCATCGCCCCCATCTACAAGCCACGCCCAGAATCGGCCGAGAGGCCAATCAGCCGTCTAGGGCAGCCTGCAGATGTGAGCCAAGAGTCGCCAGCACCTCAGCGTGAACACTGCCCCACTGAGACGCTGCTGCTCTTGACAATTTCCAAGGACATCAGTCACGCGACATCCCTGGAAATTTTTAACATTTTCATGCTGAGGATCCTACAGATCGCCCAGGGGTTCCCTAAAAACATCGGTCGACTCATATATTAATCCATGTTTTTTATAGATTCCATGTTCAGCACGAGTGGAAGTGATGTTCCTAGTGAGTTCACTTCCCTGAACATGGGATCTATAAAACTTATTCGAGATTTTCAGTATATGATCTTTTATCATTGGTATGCCATGACACCATTCGTGAAGATCTACCACTCGGGAGTATCGATTACCATTGGTAATGATACGGAGAACTTTGTTTTGCAGCACCTGTAGTCTACCTATTTGGGTATTCGAGGCGCTACAAAATACCGGACAGGCGTATGTCATTACAGGCCTGATGATCTGTTTATAGATCAAGAGCTAATTATCCAATGTTAGTGGGGAATTTCCCACCAACAAAGGATACAAGCTCCTGATCGCAGCCTGAGTCTTTTGTATTAAATAACTGATATTGTTCCTGAATGACAAACGTCTGTCCAGCTTTACTCCCAGGTATTTCACAACGGGAGAGTCCGTAACCTCCGCATCTTTTACAGTCAAAGGTCGCCGTAAAACGTTGTTAGTGTATTTCCTGCTGAAATTCATGACTTCTGTCTTTGTATTGTTCACGGCGATCTTTGACTCCTCAAAATACGGTATGACTCCCCTGTCCAGATGGATCTGGATCTGAGTCCTGGCGATGTCCGAGTCGAATGAGTGAGCATATAATGCTGTGAATGTCCTAGCGTGTGGTTGCTTAGTAGTGTCGCTCTTGAGTTTCGGCAGTTTACCGGTGGTTCGAAAAGTTGATTTGAGTCGGAACTTTGCTCCAGCGGAAGTATAGGTTCTTCTGCTTCGAGTGATATCTGATTGCAAACAAAATTGCTGTTCATTGGTGCAAAATTCCTAACATCAATCTTTCAATCCATCATAATTCTAAACCAATAACTGTAAATTCGAGTGCTGTTGAAGTACAAAAACGTTCGACTTTTTGTTCTCGCTCTTATCAGCAGCGTTTTTTATGATGAGTGCCTCGAAAAGTGTGTGCAGGATATGCACAAAAACTGTCAACAGGGATACCCCGATGGTTCAATGTACTGGATGCAAAAAACTATTCCATCAATTGTGTTTGAAAACCCCGAACATGCCAGACGTTGCCAAATTTCCTGGTCTATCCTGGAAATGTGAGAGTTGTTCAAAGAAAACAGGTGAATTAGGCGGAGAAGAAACTTTTGCTGCTAATTTGATTGAGAAATTGAACTTCATAATGTCTGATATCAAAGATATTAAAACCAAACAAAACGATATAGTTGCCTCTATGGAGTATTATGGAGCAAAAATTGATGATTTTTCTCATAAAATGGAAGAGTTCGATTCGATAGTCAAATCTATTCCAAAGATAGAGAATAAAGTCGTGCTGAACACTTCTGAAATTGATATACTGAAATCAAATATCAACAGCTTAGAACAACAGATGAGAAGTAATAATATAATTATAAACGGAATTCCTGAATCCAAAAATGAGAATGTTATTGAGATAGTTGAGAAAGTGATTGTTACCCTAGGAGTTAATGAGGCTCGCACAATCGAGAGTTGTTACAGGGTACCTCAGAAAGACCAATCTCGCCAAACTCCAAAGGGGATACTGGTAAAATTTGCTCTCAAATCACAGAAAACGAATGTTATCACTGCAATCAGGAGAATGAAAGGAATTACTACAGGAGACATCGGATTTGAAGGTAATAATAACAAGATCTTCATCAACGATCACTTGACACCACGTAACCAATTGCTGTATAAAAATACCAGGGAGATTTGCAAACAAAAAAATGTTTCGTGTTGGACTCGCGATTGTAAGATATACTTACGGGATCCGAAAAATGCGAAGCAAATTCATATTGATAGCGAAGATGCTCTTCATGAAATAATCAAGGCCTTTGGAAAAAACTAGGCTTGAATTATTTTTCATGCTAAAGTTAAATTCTATGCATATAAATATTCACAATGGGCCTAACAATATATTACCAAAATACTCGAGGTCTTCGTACCAAAACAAATAATTTTTTAATTTCGAGCCTTGAAAGCAGTTCTGACATAGTTTGCATCACCGAAACATGGCTGAATAACATGATTAATTCCTCCGAACTTTTCGATTGTGAAGAATACCAGGTGTACCGCAAAGATCGTGATGAAATTACAAGTGGAAAAGTGGATGGGGGAGGTGTTATGATTGCGGTTAAGAAGAAATTTCGCTGTTGTGAAAAAACGTCGTGGTCATCGGCTAACCGGTGTGAAGATATCTGGATAAGTGTTGCGTTGAGTAATCATAAATGGCTACATCTGTGCTGTGTATACATTCCTCCCGACTCTGGGATGGATGATTTAGAAATTCACTTGAATCATGTGCGCGATGTTGTTCTGAACCACCCCAACGATGATTTTCTGATTCTTGGAGATTATAACTGTCCTAATATTTTATGGGAAACTAAAAAAGGGCAAAATATTCACTTTGCTGCTAGAACGTCCGACGGCATTGGAGAAAACATTGTTGATACTTTCAACTTATTGAACTTAGATCAATATAATGGCAATCGCAATATCCAAGGTAAGCTACTGGATTTAGTTTTTAGCTCGCTGAATAACACTTCTGTTCTTTCAAGTCCAGCTCCCTTTGTTAACGAGGATTCCTATCACAAATCTCTAGAAATTATGATCAATGTGGAAGAAAATATCAGTGCTTCCAAGCATAAGGACTCTTTTAATAATAGAAACTTTTTCAAAGCTAACTACAATGAAATAAATGCCGAACTGAATGTTACAGATTGGAAACTTTTATTGGGAAAACTCCACTGCAATGAAGCTGTTGATGTATTTTACAATAAAATCAATTATCTCATTTCTGCGCATGTACCGAACAAACTATTCAAACAAGATTTTCCGATATGGTATACCAACTTCACAAAATCACTGATAAAACAAAAATACAAATTACACAAAAAATGGAAAAAATATCATAATCAGGCAGACTATGTGGAGTTTTGCACTATTAGGAGGGAGATAAAAAGGTCAATAAAACAAAACTTTGCTGATTACTCTCGCAAAATCGAAAACGATATGACACATAACATGAAAACCTTTTGGTCTTTCGTATCAAACCGAAATAAATCCAAAACCGTTCCAAGATATGTAGAATATCAAGGTAGCACTTTCTCTACAGACAGCGAGGTTTGTGAAGCTTTCTCTCAATATTTCTCATCTGTTTTCGAACCAGCAGACATCCCTCCTTTTGTTACTAGATCGGACCCACCTACTTCCATTACTATGAATAATATAACACTAGATCAGATCACTGAACAAATCAAGAAACTTGATATACACAAGGGTGCTGGACCTGATGGAATACCACCAGTCTTTCTAAAAAATACATGTAATTTAATAGCGGTTCCACTACTGATAATTTTCAACAAATCTCTCTCTGAAGGAGTTTATCCGGATAAGTGGAAACATGCCAATGTTATTCCCATCTTCAAAAGTGGAAACCGAAATGATGTTTTAAATTATCGGCCAATATCGTTGCTTTCAACTCCGGGAAAGATATTCGAGGCCATTATAACCCTCGAATTGTTTTATGCAACCAAACATCTCATAAACGACAATCAGCATGGTTTTTTCCAAGGCCGTTCGGTTATCACAAATCTAGCATTTTTTACTCAAAAAATTCTTGATCACATGAGTTCTAGGCTACAAGTTGACGCTGTGTATACCGATTTTTCCAAAGCCTTCGATAAAGTTCATCATAAGTCACTAATTATTAAGCTGGGAAATATTGGTATACATGGCAACTTACTCAGATTGATAGAAAGTTATATAAGGGATAGAACGCAAACTGTAACTTTGAATAGTTGGTTTTCGGAGTACACCAATGTTACGTCTGGAGTACCTCAGGGTTCACACCTTGGACCCCTGTTGTTTTCTCTTTTCATTAATGACATCAGTGAATGTTTTCTACATTCTGAGTTCTGCTTGTATGCAGATGACCTAAAAGTTTTCAAAACTATCAAAAATAATACAGACTGCTTGAATTTGCAGACAGATCTTATTAGATTGCAAAGTTACTGTGAAACTAATAAACTCGTACTGAATGCTCAAAAAGTAATCAAATTACGTTCTCCAGAATACACAAAGCCATAGACTTTCCATATGCTATTAACAATAACAACTTGGCAAAAGTTGACTTGATAAAAGACTTAGGTATCTTGTTGGACTCTAAACTGACTTTTGAAAATCACATTGAATCCATTCTAAAAAAATCCCTGCGCAATTTGGGATTCATTATGCGAATCACAAAATCTTTCACGAATCATAGGTCTCTAATTATTTTATACAACTCACTAATTCGTAGCCATCTTGAATTCGCCAGCATTATCTGGAACCCACATTATTATAAATATATCGATCGGATTGAGAGGGTACAAAAGAAATTTGTAAACTTCTTGAACTTTAAATTCAATAGACAACTGCACTTTCAAAACTATGAAACGAGTCTCAAGTATTATAATATACCCAAACTGTCCGTTAGGAGATTGGTCTCGTTCGTACGATTCCTCTTTAAAATAGTCAATAATCAAGTAGATAGTCCATACTTATTGAGCAGTCTCAACTTCAGTATAAAGCCCCATGCCACTCGTTCTCCTCATTTATTTTATACCAGCTTCCGAAATACCAACTATTCAAAAAATTCACCTGTGATGTCAATTCAAGAATTATATAATCTTTATTTCTCTCACATAGATTTGTTTTGTAACACAGCCGCTCGGGTAAAAAAAAATGGCTCTTGATGTTTTCAAATTATAGATTAATTTACTATTAGTTTTCGTTCTACTTCAGTTTCATACTAGTTACCTACTACTCAGATACAAAATGTAATTATTAGTTATTAGTTATTAGTTATTAGTCAGTTTTAATGTACCTATTAATTATACCACACGCATTAATATTGTCACAATGCGTAATTCTGTAATTGGAACTTATGTTCTGTTGAATTACCTATAATAAATAAATAAATAAATAAATCATCAGCATACAACGCTGCACTAGTCCTCTCGAACACAGGAAAATCATGCGTGTATATTGAGTATAGCAGTGGAGACAGACACGACCCCTGTGGAACACCCGCCTCGAGTGGAAAATCCCCTGAAACAGCGTCATTCACCTTTACTCTAATCTTTCGGTTTTCAAGATACGAGTCAACAATCCTAATGATATATATGGGCATTCTAGCCTTAGACATCTTGGACATTAAACCCTCGTGCCAGACGGTGTCGAAAGCCTTTTCGACATCCATCATGACCATAACAGTAATTTTGTCCTGATTAAAGGCCTCTTTTACCCCGTGAACAATTCGGGCCACTTGGGACGTGGTGCTATGTCCCTTGCGAAAACCGAATTGTTCATCAGGGATCAGGTTCAGGTCTTCGACCTGGGCCTCAATCAATCTGAGTAGAATCTTATCCACTACCTTGGCCACTACACTGAGCAGTGATATAGGGCGGTAGCTCCCTGGTCGTTTCGGGTTCTTACCCGATTTGAGAATTGGTACAACAAGCCTAGTCTTTAGACACCCTGGATAGTGCTGGTACTTGATTATAGCATTGATAATATAATGGAGTTGGACCCTTGCCTTGCGAGACAGGTTTTTCAGGAGAACGACATCTATCCCGTCGAGCCCTGGAGCCTTATTTATATTCAGGTTTTTTATTACATTTTGTAACTCAGTGGGGTTGCATATGGCTCGACCCAGGACTCGATGAGTTGAAGGTACCACAGGTAGAGCCCTGATTCGGGTCGCTACGGCTGCCATGTCCTCCTGAACCTCTCCCTCAGGATTTTTATTGATCTTATTGATTGATTGAAAATGTTTCCCAAGTACCACCGCCTTCTCAGAATCTGACACCGCCTCCCCGCGATCACACTCCAAGCAAGGGACAGGGGTGCATTTTCTCTTCAGCCTCTTTGTCATCTTCCAAAGAGTGTTATCTCGGGGATCTAGGGTCTCCACCTTGGCCCTCCAGGTGGCATTCCTGAACTCTCTGATTTTGGTTTCTATCAGCTGGGCTGTGCGGCTGAAGTCACACCTTGCTTGGGGGGTCTTCAACCGCTGCCAGCGCCTTCTGAGTCTCTTCTTTTCGGCTATTAGCTCAAGAATGTCCCCTGGAAGAATATCCTTGGTGGAGTCGATACTGACCAATCTCGTCGTCATATTTCTTGCTGAGATTATAGCATCACAGAACCTCAAGGTCTCAGAATTAATCTCCGAGACACTGAGATTAGGAATAATAGTTATTTTATCGTCGAGCAGAGCCCTGAACCTCTGCCAGTCTGTGGTTTTATAATCATATAGTTGTTTTTTAGTGTCGCGTGGTTTATCTCCAAAACTATATATCACTGGCAGGTGATCAGAGCTCAGCTCGTCGACAACTGACAGTGTTGACAATGACGTAACGTTCTTGGTCAGCACGATATCTATTATACTCGGTGTCGTTGCGTTAAAGGGGTAGTGCGTGGGACTATCAGGATGGTCCAGCAGGACATTTGCAGCCTGCAAGTACTCCCTCAAGACTCTCCCATTAGTGTTGTTCCCTTCGTTCCCCCAATCGACGTGTCTCGCATTCAGGTCCCCTCCTACGATCACTTTGTTCCCAGCACTAAACAGAGTCTCCAGGCCCTCTTCCGAGAGCCTAATTCCGGGCCTGTTGTATACCGAGAAAATGGTCTCACCACTCAGCAGCCTCACGCCGACATGCTCTATACATTGTCTTCGCGACACCACTGAGTGGGGTATGTTGTTCTTGATCAGTATGGCTACCCCCCCATGTCCATCCGCATCAGGACGGTCTGCCCTGATAGTGGTAAAACCCCTCACACAAAACCTATGGTCAGGACGGAGTTTCG